TGCAAAGGCAGAAATTGGATTCAGTTAAAAACTGATCAAGTAGAATCCAGACCTCAGTCTGTGATGTGGTTAATAGAATATATAAACTCCTGAAGGACCCCAAGGTTATCAGCATTACATTTCTTTGCCATTAGGTAAAGAAACATGCAGTGACATTTATCCACCACACCAGTCGTGAAATTTACTGTCACTGGATGTGGGAACATCCCTAGACTTCACACACAAGCACATGAAAAGTATCATGTCATCAGGGAAATGCACACTTTTCAGACTGGCTTTGTTCACTAATCATATGCATTTAAATTTCCTCCATGACTTTTCATGGCTTGATAGCACATTTCTTTTTAGTGCTGAGTAATATTCCACTGTCTGGATGGACCAGTTTATTTATCTATTCACCCACTGAAGGACCTCTAGGTTTCTTGGTTGCTTTCAAGTTTTGGTGTTTATGAATAAAGCTGCTGTAAACATCCATGCAGAGGTGGACATTAGTTTCCATGTAATTGTGGGAAGCTCTGGGTGATGAGGTGTCTGTGTAGATCTATCCGTGGTAACAAATGTCCCTTCTGGGGAGAATGTTGATACTGGTCGAGGCTCTGCATGTGGAGGGACACAGGGAGAATTAAGGAAATTCTTTTTCAATTTTACTGTGAAACTACAACTGCTTCTAAAGAAAAAAAGAAAAAATGAGGAAAAAGTCTATTTAAAAAAAGTAAAACAATTTCATCTGTTACCCAAGATTTGCTGAATCAGAATTCTTGCTGTGTTGGGGGGCCACCTAGAATCTGACATTTTTAAAGCACTCTATGATTCTGATCATCACCCTGGCTTAGAAATGACAGGCCAGAAGTGCAATTGAAGCTGAGGGTAATCAACTGAAAAACTGAAAGTTTCAAGTGAAACTAATATGAGGGCACTTGGACGTTATGGAGGACTGCAACATGAGGAAAATGCATCCCCGAAAATCTCATTATGCGTTTTCACTCACATCGGAGTCATGTTCAGTATGTGTATGCCAAGTGATGTCACCCTCAAATTACCAGCATTATTAAAAGAAAAAAAAAAGATGATTCTGGCAATGTTGTTCCCTGGACCATGCTTTGAGCAGTTGGCTTGGGCGTAAGCCAACTGAGGACAGGGCTATTTTCCATCAGTCGCTTGACTGTGTACCCAGCCCTGGTCACAATTCCAGGCACAGAGTGGGTGCTCACCATGTGTTTACTGAATGAATGCTCCCCCTCCTGCAGGAAGTGCACCCCATTCTGTTTGAGGCCTTTTGTTTGTGTTTTCCCTAAAACCCCTGTGCATAGACAAGATGCACCTTTCCCAGTGTTTACAGTAGCTACTGGGGACATCTTTTGCTTATTTCCTTCTGTCCTCTCACTGATGATAAATTGCAGAAGGGAGGGGACTGTATAATTGTCTGCAAGTTTCTCTGTACTTAGGACAGAGCTTGGAACATCAAAGACTCTTGGGAAATGTCTGTTAGATTAATGAATGATTTGGAAAGGCCAATCCAGCTTTTCAATCTGCCAGAGCTGCAACTGATCTTCCACTGGCATGAATTTCCCTCCCTGCAAGCAGGATGGTATATTCTCAGGAGCGTGGAGGCAGAGACGCAGACTGAAGACAAAAGAGGAATGGGTGGCAGGGAGGGCACATCCCGGAGCAGAATTCACAAGCAGCAGCATCCCGAGATTGGACACAGGAGCAAATGAGCAAACGTCTCCCCAGAAGCAGACTCCGTGCATCGGCAATGGTTATTTCCAGCTGCTGCTCCTCGTCATGGAGGACAGCTACTCTGCCAGGTCAGAATTGCTCTGGCCATTTTCAAGGTCATTGTACCTTCCCAGATCTGGCACTGAATCTGGGGTCTGGCAAGTCTGGCTTCTTAAGTGGATTAGGAGGGGCCCCACAGAGCCCTGCGTCCTGGCCGCATTCCCGGGGATAGTCCTCTGAGGAGAGGTCAGCCTCCTCTCTGTCCCTCCTTGGATGTGAGTCCACCTCCTGATCTCAGCCGTGGCACCATTTCATATGCTGCGGTTGCCCGAGCCTGCCCCGCTACCATCACACACTTCCATCATCATCACCTTAAGTACATTCAGGTAGGAAAGATATAATTAACCTGCAGCCAACATCCAGAATCAGAAATGCAGTTATAACAGTCGAAAACAAAATGAATGAATGAATTTTTGTGAAAAATTACTTGAGTGATTTTATGAAATTCCACCTCTGTTTTCCCTCTGTCCATTTTTCAAAATTGCTTACATTCATAACACTTTCATGTGAAAATGGAGTTATATCGAAAGGCATGCAATCACACAGACCAGACAGGGTAGCCGGGCACACGGGCCCTTCTCCCCGTCCTCCTCTGCCCCCGTGGATTTTGTCTCAAGCAGAGTGGTCGGATGCTGTCACTGTGCATGCAGAGAACAAAGAAGAGGAGTGGTGATGTGCATTTGAAAGTTCATTTCCAAATCCAGTGCAAGAAATGGGGGACGACCTGACATTTTGCATTGGGAGAGGTGGACAGGAGTCAGGAAACACTCACTTATTCTGTCAGCTATTAGATTTTCCTATTTCACTGTTTAATTCGCTGGCAGGGCTGGTGGGACATGGGACGGAGTGAGAAACGTGGCCAGAGGAGCTGTGGCTTTGTGGCTTCCCTCCCTTTTTCTCTGTCTCTTCCTTCACTCACACACCCACAGAAATACGATGTCTGTGATTCTCTATTATACAGATACCTAAGTACAGCTAGATGTGAATGTAGCCACAGACATATAATCTAGGTATTAGATATAGATACTGGGTGCAGATAGAGATTTAAAGCTTATATAGCAAAATTGTGCAGCCCTGGAATAGGGTACTTAGGTGGGCGGCAACCTGCTTGGTCAAGCTTGTCTGGCTTAGGAGATACCTTCTTTGATGTGGACAGCTCCTAGAGTCTTTCATCTTGATCCCATTTTTAAGTGGAAAGGGTATGAATTTTAAAAATGACTCTTGAAACCTTCCTGAAATATCTCCTTCAAAGAACCCGTCAGCAGGGAAGCGGGAATCAGCCTCCACCCGAGGCCCGCGCACCAGTGAGAGACGCCTCAGGAAACCATCCCCGCAAGGTCTGGGGGGCAAGACCCCTGGACCCCTCCCTCCTCTGCTGGACCTCCAGCGGCTCCATCTGAAAACCTGATTTCCTGAGACCCTCCCCGTCTCCTCATCCCCTGCTTCCAACCAGAGTCGTGGGGAGCTGGAATTGGAACTGACCCTGGGGAATCACGCCCTGTTTCCTGGAGGAGGGGAGCGGGAGTGGCAGC